GTCGCAGTCCTCCTGGCACTTAACAGCATATACAACATTGCTCTGTTTGTGTCGGGGCACCGGATCTTTGGGGTGAACCAGCCTTTGTCGTAATGTGTTTTGGGGTTTGAAAGCCACTGGGACATCATGTTTAGAAAATAAACGTCTCATTTTCTCCGAAACACCTGCAACATACGGAATAACCACTGGTTTGGGTCGTCCAGAAGACCTATACAATTTTTTTTTTCTTTTTGATTTTTTTACCTGGATTACTGAGATGCATCAGGACATAAGCATTAACCAGTTTTAAGATATTGTATCAGCCTATTTCAAGAGATTTTGACTTGTTTCATGTTTATGTAAAATACTTGTATTACTTGGAGAAAACCCAGGCATACATGAGTAAACTTCACACTGTGACTTGAACTCATGATCCTCTTGCCGTGTGGCAAGTGCCAACCACAAATACACCGTGTTGGCCAAAGAGAAATTTGTTTTTAACACCAATGTTGTTTTATAGGGGTGCAGCAATACATGTACCCGTATCGAATCGTTTAATACAGTGCTTTAGGTTCAATACACACTTATATCGAACAATACAGATTTTTTTTTTGAATTTATTTTATGAACTTATCTTCTAAAGATGCTCTGTGTTGAAGGATCAGAGGATCTGTGTTCAACTACTCTATCTGGACTGTATTTTTGAGTGCAGATCCACTGAGAAGCTTGCTGTTTCAGCTAAATTCAAGCTTAAATTTAATTTAAAACCGGTACTTTTGAGGTTAAACAAATGTTCATAAATAATTTCAATAAATTACAAGTTAAAAAGGGCATGGGAATTTCTGTTATATGTATTGAAAAAATATCAAACCGTGAGACTAAAGTATTGAACCGAATCGTGAATTTTCTGTATCGTTGCACCCCTATTGTTTTATCAGCTACATACGTTTCATTACATTAATATTTGGTCATGTATAATTAAACAAGGACTATTAGTTTTTAGTGAAAGCGTTGGAGGTGAAAAACTGGATATTGATACMGAAAAAAATGTTTTATCTACAGAAGTAAAGAAACAGCCTTGACGAAACACTTAAAGCACTAATTATAGAGGAGTGAGTTGATGAAACTTGTGTCCACACAGGAGCAACTGGACCGCAGGGGTTGTCCACTCTGGTAAGTCCCGCAGTCAAATATAGCTGTGCAGACGTGTCAGTTCTCTGCTGGTCCCAGTAGCCTCTTCCTCCTGTGTATAAATATGTGAGCACATGTGCATCTTGAGAGTTGGGGTCACTCGTGAAGTTGTATTATTATAAACCCTGGAGACAGAGTCCTGTCCGTCAACCTGCCACTTTCAGCTGCGTGCGTCAATCTGCCTAGGGCTGCACGTCGCTTTGCCCTTCGGTTTCCGATTGGTCCAGCCCTGATTTGTGGGCGGGCGCTCCCTGGCGCACGCTGAAATCCCATTGGACGACAGGCGCTTTGGGTTAATGTGACGCAGCTTGGAATTCCCAAAGTTCCCAAGTTTACAAAAGGAGAAGATCGCCGCGCTCACTGAAAACCCAAACATTTATAAGGAAACAGCAATCACCGACAAGTGCGTAAGCAAGTGGGGGTAAATAAAACTATTTTCATTGAGTTTTAGTTTGACAGAGATTAGCATGTTCTGACGTTCGTGCTAGCAGCAGGGCCTGAGTGGGAACGCGGAAGAATAATGTCCAGGCTAACATCCCTCCTTTGTTTACCATCATGGGTGAACCTTGAAATTGGTTACTTCAACAACCGCAGGGCCTAAAGTTTGTCTCGTTTTTGTGTAAAAATAAATAAACAGAAGTCCAGCTGGTTTAGAGATACCTAGAGAGGAGCACAGACGTCCCCTGCTCGCTCGTTTCTGGATCAATGAAGTGGTCGTGTCTGAGGTTTGACCATTTTTGGTGTTTTCACCGCCGCACAGACAGTCTGGATGAATGAATCAGGGCGAGTGGTGAGCTGATGTGGCAGTCGTGATTATCATTCGGTTCGTTATTGTATTTATTTCCTAACGAAACCCTGTTTTTTATGCGCAGTTGAGTATTATGGATACCACCACACTGTTACATAACTTGAATAAGCGACAATGGGCTTTTTATTCCTTTGTACGTGGCGCATTGTTGCTTAAACTTCACATTTTTCTGCATAAATGCGACCTTGTGAGTGTGATTTTACGCAATTACCACTCTCAAACACTCATACTGTATGTAGCGAGACCCGTTTGTCATTTATGCATGTGTTCAGAGCTGTGCACGCCAGTAGGAAAGCTAATGTGTTTTTATTATTAATTGCATTTTTTATTAGACTTATTAGGAATAGGATTGCACACGGTTTTTTGTTTTTCTTCCTGCAGGGTATCATAAAGCTGAATCTGTCTCGTGCTGTTCCAACTTCGGCCAGCAGAGGGCGATGTCTGACAGCAGCAACAGCACAGGCAGCAGCGGCTCCTCCACCAACAGCTGGACCCTCCTCTCCCCGGAGGTAAAAGCACCCAAAACCAGCAGGAAAGGGAAAAATCGTGGAGAGATGGGGATCTTAAAAAGGAGGCATTTTATCCTGCTTCATGAATACATAGCATCCTGCCTGAACATGCAACCCCCAGTCTTCTTTTATTAAAAAAAAAAAAAATCTAAAACTTTAGCGGATGTTTTTGCAGAGCTGTAACTTATGAGTCATCAGCTGTGTAATGTGTTCAATGAATGGAAGCAGCCCCACCTCTGCTCATTTTACTCTAAGGGAATTGATTCATCTCTCTGGGCAGTGGCTTACTTTTTTTAATTAAATTTTTGATATTTTTTTATTTTATACATAACAATATAACTACGCAAACATGTAAAACCAAAAATGTGGTTGTTGTTAAGTTGCACTGTGGTCTGAGAGGTGTTTCTAATGCTTCCGTTAGTAGGTTGTTTGTTGTAACATATCCAGTAGAGTGGAAAAGCCAGTCTGTTTCGGCTGTAATGTAAATATCCATGTTTTTAAATGCAACTGCTYCACAGGAAGCTGCCATTGAGAATGTGGGTCCTGTGGATGATGGCACTGAGAGCCTGGGAGATGCCCCCAGCCTCTCTGAGGAGGTGGCAGGTACCGGCAAGTCAATACTTGTAGCTAAAGCTTTGATGAAAGTGAACCAAAAAAGGCTCTTTGACAACTGTTGTTGGGTTTCGTGCTTCCTGACAGTGTGTGAACTCTGTTTCAGGAGCTGCGGCTGAGTTCAAACCAGCTGACATCCCAGTAGAAACTGTTTTGTCTGAAGAAGGTCACCAGGTTAGTGCATAAATAAACCAGATGATATCCAGTTAAGGAAAGTTCAGTCCTTTTTAAAGATAGCGCAGCAGAAAGACCTACAAATACTGTATTTCGCTGTTAAGATGTCATTATCTGCTTGACAAGTCGAGATCTGTTTTTGTAAAGTCTTTCCTACAAGACGAAGTTCAAAAAGATTTCATATTATAGATACTCTCTGGGGAACATAAGCTGGATACTTTAAGAGCTTGAGTGTTATTACTGTAAATTATATAAAAAAAGATAATTTATGCACAAATGTTTTATTCCTTTGTTCATGTTTAGGTTTGTCAGGAGACATCTCCAGAGTCCGGTGAGGGTCCCCTCCCTTCTAGTCCATCCCGGCTGAGCCCTCTTCCGCCCGGACCCCACGATGCTGCGCACTTTGACTTGGAGAGTCAGCCTCCGGTGATCCACGACATTGTAACCACCTCGCCCAGCGACAACGAGCCCCAGGGTGCCATGTCTTTTGTCACCAACATTGACCCGGGGGCTCCGCTTGATATCCCAGCGGTCGAAATCGCCGTCGCCGACTCCAGAGGGTCCCGCTCGGCTTCCCCCGTGACCGAGTTTGCCGTCTCCGCCGAGCCCGCGCTCGACACGCCCGCTGATTCTGGACCGTTTCCTGCGAGTCCYGCTGGGGAGAGTGAGGTAAACGTCCCCACAGAGACCCTCGCCGCCGTTGAAGCTGATATTAGCTTTGCCCCAGAGACCACCGGGCCTGCGGTCCTGCGAAGCCTGGAGACAGAACGTCCAGCTGGTGAAAGTCCCGCACCTGAGACGGTTGGTTCTGCTGAGGAAGAGGAGGACGAGGTTGAACGAGAGGAAGAAAGGCCTTCTGAGGCGATGGATGTCGACGAAGAAGAGGACGAGGAAGGTGAGGATTTATCCAGGCTGAAGTCTTAAATAGAGCGTGAAATCAAATCTTTTCTAATGATTTACTTCTTTTTAAAGGGGCAATATCRTGTAAAATAAACTTTTTTGAGTTTTATATCATGTTATAATGTTATACTCTCATAAAAACATGCCCAAAGCCTTGCTTTGACTCATTCATGCATGTTTGAGAAATCCTGCAGCGTTTTTAGGAAGCCATGCTGAGGAGCAAAACAACAGRTGGGGACCAGAAACGCCCCTGGGACGTGTCTTTAAGCCGAACTTCCTCATGGCGGGGCGCCACCCCCCAACACACACACACACACACACACACACACACACCCCGCCCATGACTCCTGCAGGCTCTCGGGTGAAACTGAAAGTGAAACTTAAATTGTCTGCTGGGCTCCACTACTTCTCACTCAGTGAAGCTCTTTTCAGATTAAAAATACCTTTGAGGAAATGTATTTTCAGATGCCAAGTAAACTGCATCATAGCAGACCCCCCCCCCAACATTGAAATGGGCGAGACAGAAGCAGAAGGTGGTTCTTAAAGAGACAGAGGCCAATTTCAAGGCGTTTAGAAGAGGAAGTGATGAGAAGATAAGTTTATTTTCTATTTAAACATAAAAACAGCATTTTAATAACAGCTAAAGGCGACATAGATACTTTATTATGGTATTTAAATATAGGCCTGAGAAACACATAATATTGCCCCTTTAATAAAGAAATGAGAAGCATCAGTGTGCCTGTAAATGTGCCTGCATGCTAATCAGCTTAGTCGTTAATCACTGTTGTTTTCTCAGTAGCAATAATCCAGGCCAAACAAACGATACCTCTGTTTAAAAAGGTGCTGTGAACAGGTGCACAAAGAAAAGCAGAACTGAACTAACAGTTAAAACATTACCTTGTGAAGTTTCAGCTCGTATGGCTGTAAACATGTTCAGTGCAGCATGCAGGAAGTAAAGTGGATTTTGATGGAGGTTTTTACATCACAAGTTCATAGGAAAGAGTAAAACAGAGAAATCTCAACAATTTGTTAACACATATTTTCTCCGTGTCGTGGTAGCATCTGGAGGATGTTTTAACTATGTGACAGCGCGGCCCGCACCCCACTGACTGAATGAATAAACCCCCAAGCATGAAATTACTGTTGTTGTAATTGAGCGAAAAAATGTCATCCATTTCCACGAGCAGCACTCTTCCTTTGTCCCTGACGTTTCCCACATGCTGTTTGCACATCTCTGTTTGTAACGTGCCGTGTAATCTTTGAAAATCTGGTATTTTTGCAGGGAAGGCTGCCAGTGGATAATTATAATTTTGGAAACAACTTCTTCACTGACAGTTGAGTCTCTAGGAATGCTGAAATGATTTGTTGTGGCGGTKTTGAAGGCCACGCTGGAGTATATGTGGTTTAGTTCCAGGCGCGGCGTTTTCGTGCTCGCCGTCTCTTCCTGTAACGTTTCTCCGTCTCTCAGAGCCGTCCAGCAGTTACGAGCCGGGTGACACGGGCGGCTTGGACGAAGGACTGAGGAGGAGGAATGTGCCCGCTTTTGAAGCGCCAAGACCAAGAACCTCAGATGAGGAAGASGATGAGGAGGAGGTGGAATTCAAGCTGCCTGAGAAAAAGGAGGAGAAGTCCTGGTTCTCCATGAACAAATGCATTGTGGCCGCTTTGGTCCTGCTCTTCTTAGGTTCCCTCTTTTTCTCAGGTGAGTTCCTTTTTCTGCCTTTTTAAAGCCTCACATTTGAAGAAGTAATTTTTTTAAAGTTCCTGTTTTTTTTTTTACCTCAAAAGCTAATTAAGTTATGGTATTTGACACCAAGTATTTTGATACTAAAGCTCCAAACGTGGATCCTAGTTTTGAAACTGCGGGCTGATAATGAGCCAAACGGTGTCTCTCGGGCGCAGCGTCGTTAAAGCGAAGAATTTTCACATTTTTACACGAATTGGTCACAGCTTTTCACTTTCCCTCAATCTGTCTTAAATTAGTAGAGGCGGCAACGTCTCTGGATCTCATTTCTGTATGATTTTCTTCTTCGCAGAAGATTACATTTCAAATATGTGCCAAAAAAAAAAAAAAGCTCCGCTGGGACTTCCTCTTCAGATTCATGTCTGGTTTTAATGTAGCTATGTTTTGTTGCATCAAATTAGCAGAACCTTGAAATGCTATATGCTACCAATACTGCACAAGTGAGATGTTTTAATTTTGCTAATTGGATTGAAGGGTCACAAATTGATTGAAACATGAACACAGTACTCCTGTCTGCATCTACTACACTGCAAAAACTGTCCATCTAACCAAGTTTTAAAATCTTATATCCAGCCAAAAAAAAAATCTTTTTGATCTTGTTTTGAGACTGATTTACTAAACAAGAACTGATTGTGTAAGAATAATCATCTTGTTTTCAGAATGTGTAAGATTATTTGTCTTGTTAGTCTGAAAAATTGACTCAAATTAAGTAAAAAATGTCTACCAGTGGAGTAAGAATTTTTTACTTTGTAAGATTTTTGAAATAGTTGATTTGGCTCAATTTTTTTCTTATTTCAAGAATCTTACCAAGTCAAATTTTCTTACTCCATTGGCAGACAATTTTGACTTAATTGGAGTCAATTTTTCAGGCTAACARGACAAATAATCTTACACATTCTGAAAACAAGATTATTATTCTTACACAATCAGTTCTTGTTTAGTAAATCAGTCTCAAAACAAGATCAAAAAGACTTATTGGCTGGATATAAGATTTTAAAACTTGGTTAGATGGCCAGTTTTTGCAGTGTATACACAACACTGCATCATCTTCAAAAAGAAAAACAAATAAAAGACGCTTTCTTCCACAATACAACACGAAGTTGACGTTTTGTAGATTCCCGAATGCTTTGTGTGAATATTCTCTTAGGCTGACATTCACCTGTTTGACAATGACTCTATTTATGAGTTACGCAAGCACGTTTATTTGCAGTCGTCAGCAATACTTGGGTGTCCGTTGGTGAGATCTTGTTGACTAAGCTGCACTGTGTCAACAGGTGTCCTCTCTGACCTGGATAATGGTAGGTCCGGAATCAAAGATAGGACCACAGGAAGCCCACAAACACACACACACACACACCCCGCTGCTCAGCTAGCAGTGGGTTGTCACCGCACTTATCTGGCCTGACGGCTCCTGCAGCGACAGCAGAAAGAAAAGAAAAAAAGCAAATAACACGCATTCTGAATTGTGGAATGACGCTCGTCATCGCTGCTGAGAAGGATTTACCAGACGTTTAGGGGTTTAAATGTTTCAGCTCTTGTGTTTGATGGAGATATAAGAGTCAAACGAATGCACCTCACATTTTGTTTGTCAGTACAACAACCTTTYGTCAGACTCGTGGAAAGCTGACGTTTGCTTGTCTGACAGGTGACTTTGACGCCTCGGATCTGACTGACGGAGAACAAAACCAGGTTTGTTTCCTCTCTGTCTTGCTTCATTCACTGTGTCCAACAACGCTTTGAAGGCGAACAGTAAACATAAAACAATAACACATTTTTTAAAAATTATGCATTCTGTTCACACTCGAATGGTTTTTATATCCAGGGTGTGCTTAGCGGTGATCCGCAGGATATGAAAGAGTTATTGGATAAACTGGCACAGGAAAACCAACAAATCACTCAGCTAGAAGCTGAACTACAGGTCAGTGCACAGACTTATTGTCATCGTTTACACTTAACCTCCTAACATGACGCTAAATCAATTAAAGACCAAGAATTCCTTAAAGGAATGTAAATTTCTTCTGTTTATCTCGCAGAATGAAAAAGAAGAGCTCGACTCGCAGATGCAGGTCGTGGCAGCGAGCGGTGATGAAAGGAGGATGGTAGATTTAGAAAAAGAAAACTCAAAGTTAAAAGAGGAGCTGTCGTCCCTGCCTGAGCTGAAGAAGGAGCTGGAGAGTCTGAGGGTTCGAGTGACTGAGCTCAGCAAGCTCACAAGTAAGATCATGATGCATATGGGGTGCCGTTTGTAAAGTTACACAGTCAAAAATTACCACCAATATTTTTGTTTTATTTAGCCTTTTA